TGAAATTTTCTACTCTAATGGTGCTCTACCTGGTGTTACAATTAAGGTAGTTTGGCAAGGTTCAGAGCATACAGCTCAGCATGGGATCAAAACTTTTCTGGCTGTAGAACTCTTTTGCTTGGGATCTTTTCCAGCATCCAGTGATAAATCAATTCTTTCAAATAGTAATGAATGTTTTTTAGGCTAAGTACCAGGCATATTGTATGCCTTCCCTACATCATCTTGTTTAATCTTTATCCCAACTCTCTGATATAGTTACTTTTTCTAAATCCCTATTTTACAAATTAAAAAAAAAAAATCCCTCTAGGGCCGTGGTCTGCAAACTGCGGCTTGAGGGCCACATGTGGATCTTTGGCCCTTGAGTGTGGCTCTTCCACAAAATACTACGGCCTGAGTGAGTCTATTTTGAAGAAGTGGCATTAGAAGAAGTTTAAATTTGGCTCTCAAAATAAATTTCAATCGTTGTACTGTTGATATTTGGCTCTGTGGACTAATGAGTTTGCCGATCACTGCTCTAAGGCATCAGTTTAGGAACTTTTACTTCTATTCAGAGGTAGAAAGGGGCTGACCTATTAATGCTTGAATACACAAGTGCTAAAATCCTAATTTAAAAATGATCAGGCTGAAAACAGTTATAGGATTTACTGCACTAGACAGGGAGGATCCAGGAATCCTAAAACTTTGGAAGGATTATATAAGCCTTTAATGTTTATTGTAAAAGCTTACAAATGCCATTAGTAGAAATTCTGACTTTCAGGCTCTTGATGGAAACTGACCTGGGAAATAGAATCCCACAGTCCCTTTGTCTTATTCATCCTGGCACATGAGTTACTAGCTTCTATTCAGATCAGAAATCCCCTTTCATTTGAAAGGGATAATTTGATTATAGAAGTGTTCATGCTTAATATGTTTGTTCATTTGTTATACATCAAATTATTATTTTCTCTGGCAATCTCTTCTCAACCAAGCAGCCTTGTTTTTTTTCCAAACCAAAACAGTCAATCTGTTTTCAAAGAAAGGCCCTCCCCAAAATATAATTTGAACAGAGAAATAAATTCCTCAGACCCTGAACCTCACTGTGCAAGGAATATGCACTGGCACTCTCTGAGAAAGCCATATTGGAAGGAAAAACAAACAAACAAACGAAAAAAACCCCCACAATTTTAAAGGAAATATGATAACTTTCATTCTGTGTGACATATCTTTATTAAGAATGGGGTGAACAAAGAAAAAGTATAATACAATCATATCTTTGGCCTCCAAATTAAAAATGCAAGTTATATCCTAACTGAAAACTCCCTTACAGTAAGTATTAGGAGGCTGTGTTGATAAATGAGTTTGGCTGTGCCTTTCTCTTGTGGCATAGGCAGCTGTGGTTTGAAACAGGGCCCTTGGCATGTAGTCTCTCCAGGGCACACTTCCTGTGCATGAGCAGGCTGAGGGCAGAGCCAGTGACCATCCTGATATTCCAATTTTTTATTATTATTTGCTTAGCTGATAGAGAAGAGTATATATATTTAATAAGCTTATAAAAAAACTACAGAAATTAATCCCTAGTATTTTTTAATATATTTTATTGATTTTGTACGGAGAGGGAGAGAGATAGAGAGTTAGAAATATCTATGAGAGAGAGTCATCAGTCAGCTGCCTCTTGCACACCCCCTACTGGGGATATGCCCACAACCAAGGTACATGCCCTTGACCGGAATCAAACCTGGGACCTTTCAGTCGCCAAGCCGATGCTCTATCCATTGAGCCAAACCGGTTTCGGTAATCCCTAGTATTATTGACCAGGCATCGAAATGAGCCCTTCCGTATATCCTGCTCAAAGAAATACAACTGTTACATGCTTTAAGGAAAGTAATTTAGCAATTTGTGTCAAAAGGCTTTTATAAATGCATACTTTTTGTCTTAGTAATTTGATTTCTAGAATTTTATCCTAAGGAAAAAACAAAAAAGTCCACATGACAATTTAATTATGAAAGCTTTTATCTTGGCATTATGTATAAGAAACTCAAATGTTCAACAGTGAAGTTTTCTGTGTCTATATAATGTATGTCAGAATTTCTCAACTTTGGCACAATGGATATTTTGAGCCTGGTAATTATTTTCCGTGGGCGCTGTGTTGTGCATTGTAGGATGTTCAACACCATCACTGGCTTCTGTCCACTAGATACAGTGGTACACCTTACCTTTCTCACCCTTGTGAAAACCAAAAATGTCTTCAGACATTGTTCTGGGAGTGATGTTGCCTCTGGGTGGGAATCATTAATGTATAGTAGGCAGATTTTTAAATAGTTTTAAATGAATATTTTTAAAGGGGAAATACTGCATATCTTCTTAAATTAAAAAAAAAAAAAGTGAATGGTTGCCACAAAAGAGTAAGATACCAGTAGGCCAGTTTAGAGGATGTAAAGTTTCTCTAATGCCAGAGGTTGCTCTGATGGTTCTGTGAAAAGCCAGATATTCCCAAAGGATCTGTCAGAGCAGCCCTGAATAACACAGCCTCCCATAATTGTTCACGTGAGAGGATCCTGCCAGATCTTGGAAGCTTCCCTTTTGTGGTTCCAATAGGATTTTAGGAATTTTTTTTTACCTTAACCCCTCCTCTTAGGACCTTCCTATTTTCAGCTTTTCCTAGGATTTGGCTTTTCATCTACCTCTTCACCTAGTGCAAACACATAATCTGTATGAATATTTCTGAATTCACTCTGAGTCTAGATGAATCAAAGTTTCAATTTCCAGCCTCCCTCAAGAGGCACAAACTTTAGGTCAAGGTGCTCTGTGTCTTCTCAAGCGGTTAACAAATTCATTATGCTCTCCCTTAAAAATGTTTAAGTGTGCAGAAATGCATATATATTGTAAAAGTTACTTCTTGGAGATAACTTTATATGTGATTTAAAAAATAAGCACTTTATTTTTAATGTTTATTATTGAAGCTATTTTCTAAAAGAGAAAAATAAATTATTTAAATCATAATTCTTAGGGAAAAGAATTAAATTGATTTTATAAGTGATGGACAGCTTTTAATATATTAGTCCTAATATAAAAAATAGTATATTTTATTAATATATAGTAGGAGGACTATATAAATGAAGCCATTCAGATTCTGGGGGTCTAGGAACCTATGTCCCACAGATGAAGGCCAACTACTGTATATAGGAGAGAGGATAAGTGACATTGGAAAAACTTAACAGCAAGACAAGGAAGTCCATGGGGAGCTTCATGGAAGAAATAGCATTTGCGAAGGGCCTTGAAAGAACCTAAAATCCCAAGAGTCAAATAGGAGCCATTGGCAGTGGGCTGAAGAGCACGGGAAGGGCAGACCAGGGTGGCCAGGCTAGCAGAGGGAGTGTGGCAGAGGGAGTGTGGTACCGTGAGCCTTGCCTGAGCTTTAGAACTCTGGTTCTGATGCTTATTAAGTGCCCACAACTTTCCCACCCCCATCTGTAAAAAGGAAAAAATACCTACTTCATAGGATATTTGTGAGTATTCCATGGGAAAGTTTCTGGCCCAGAAATGCTAAAAAATAAATAAAAATAAAAAGAGATTACTTTTTTTCTATTTTCTAAAAACAATGGGTCTTTCAGTATTGGGGTAACAGAGAATAGAAACAAAATTTTATTTTGGAACTTTTTAAATAGAAATCTATAAAAGCCATAAAATTATGTTATTCTTGACCACATTTAATTTGATTAATTTGCTGAAAAAAAATAGTTCACAAGGATTTAAAATATTAGTATGAAAAAGAGTGATCTGTAGTTATACCACTATTTTCAAGTTCTTAGGGGTATTTTGAAAGCTAAGCATCAAGATACATTGTCTAAATTATTAGTGATCTCCAAATTAGCAATGGGGTTTCCTGTGTGTTGTTGATATTAAAATTAATGTTTTCTTTGTTCTTGGATAGTAACCACTTACATTCTTAATTATGTTCTTCACAGGCTAATATTAGTGCTAGTTCATCTTTAGGTACCCCGTAGTTGGGACCATTATTTAAAAGTGTCTAGACATGACCTAAAGACTTGTGTCCCATGAGGGAAAGCTGCCATGGCACGAAAGTCATTGTAGTCATTATCCAGCTTCATCCACACTTCCCAGAAAATACTAGTGTCCTTGTTCTCTTCCTTTTCTACTCCTTAACTTCTCCAATCCCCACCCACTGCTTCTCTTTCACTCTCTCATTGGGATAAGAAATTTTTCCCTAAAAGTAAAAGTTATAAAATATAATTCCTGACCTATCCTTCCATTCCTTGAACACACAGTTTCAGTGTGCTGTGGAAATTGGTGTGTATGTCTCAGATCAAATAGAATTATCCTTTTTTTAAAGCAGCTGTCCCCTATGAACAGTGTATGTTATGAGACTTAATGCCATTTAGCATTTGGAATTGTTCTTTCTTCTTGAATTGGAAGTAAGAATCAGCAAAAATTACCATGTTATGGCGCCCTAGCATAATTTCAGAGTCTGTCTATAGGGACAGTATTTTTGGTAACAGAGAAATATTAATACAGGCAATGCTGCATACCAATTAGTTTTATTAAAATATATATTATGCACAGCTCTGACTTGGCTTAAAAAGTTTCCTTGACAACATCATTTAACTTCTTACTGTTCTTTTCATGTTGCTAGTATAAATATCTAATATGTTTCTGTTCAAAACATCAATTAGGCTTCAGTATAAGCTTTATTAATACAGATCTGTTATTACAAGAAGACTGCTGAGCTGTGATAATTTGCACAGCAGGAACAATAAAATATCTTTTTTTCTGCTTGGTTCTATCCCAAAACATTGGCTTTTTAATTTTTTTTAACAGAGCCTTCCAGAATCTCTTTTAACATTTACAATGAAATCTTTATAGGTCTGATAAGCCAAAAGCACTGTTTTCTTCAAGCGTAAACAATGGGAAGGCCCGAAATTACAGACAGATTAAAAAATACACGTACTAATATTAATTCCAGATCCCCACTTTAAATATCTTTCATTGTTTTCTCCATGTAGCCAGAACCCCCCACTTCCTGAGGATTCAGAACGTGGAAGTGAATGCCGGCCAGTTTGCCACGTTCCAGTGCAGTGCCATCGGCAGGACCATGGCAGGGGACAGGCTCTGGTTGCAGGTACAGTAACTCATTTCACCAATTTATCGAAAGTCCAGGGGGAAGAAGACCTGCCCTCTGGGGAGGGGCCCAGAGAACTGGATCAGTGCCTGGTCCTAATGGAAGATGATGGTGTGGGAGTTTTCCCTTTCCTTTCCTTCTCACTAAGTGGCCAGAATATTAAGAGTTCTAGATACATTAATTATTGTTTATCACAGACCTTGTTTTGAATTTGTTTTCCCCCATTTACTTGTGCTTAGCTATCTTGTTTTGAAGAGCTGATTGTCAAATTACTTTAAGAGCTTATATTAAAGTACAAATAGTAGTACCCTTTTCCTACTTTTCCTCTAGAGAAAAACCCAAAAAATTGCCTATCTTCTCCTTTCCCTTCCCCCCCATCTCTCTCTCTCTCACACACACACACACACACACACACACACACACTTATAGCCCTTGTTTTAATGTGAATTTAGATAGCAATAAGCCCAAACTTAGAAAACATTAATAACATATTTTTTACCTTTTAGAATGCTAAGTAGACATTTTCCAGGGTAATCATAATTTTTGGGTTTTACAATCCTTAAATTTCTCTGTGTATTTTGCATGGCAGATTGTTTCAAGAATAGATCCATGGTCTCAATAATTCTGAGAATGAGCGACCCGCCCCCCTCTAACCAGAGTGTTACCCATTTTAGACTCTAGGTGTCATTTATCCTCCCATGCAATTCTCTCATTTCATTCTTTCTCTTCCTTTCAAACATGGATGTGCAGGCTGCTCATTCTTCACTTTGAGTAGTGCTTACTTTCCCCGTTTCCTTTTTGGTTAATTATTTACTTACTAGAGGCCCTAGGCACAAAATTCGTGTAAGGGTAGGCCTTCGCAGCCCAGGCTTCATCCTGAAGATTGTCTGGAAGGCTCTCTGGACAGTTCCACTGTTCAACAGCTTGGTCCATTTGCATATTATGCTTTTTATTATTATAGATTGGTGTTTGCTACTGGGCTGTTTTATGCTCTAAGCCCTATTCCTATTCACCTTGGTTTCCACTTCCTGCAAACTGACTTTTCTTCTGTGCACATCACCTCTCCAACTTCTATTATACCTCGTCTGCACTGTAATAATGATTGTGATGTGTTACATTTGCATGGCACTCTATAATGTTCAATCCCTTATCCCTTTTAATCATTACAACTGCAATAAATGGCCATTGATAATCCTCAATTTCTGGGGAAAATGGAAGATAGCCAAATGTGCTATCCAAGATTAGTCAATAATGTGTTGACAAATGGGTAATATATTATGGAGGAATCTTCTTAAGTATAGCTGGGTCCTCTGGACAATTCCTCACCCTTGTACCTTGATGTCACTCTCTTTTATCATATCCTTCTGTCCCTGTTAGTGTCCCCTGGCCAGGAAGGAGGAATGTGGGCAGAGATTATCTACCAAAATCATCTTTACTGTTTCCTTTTCTCTAAAAGTTGTACAATCATTATTTTAAAAGCTTTTGCAGTGTGTGAAAACTGTGCCTAACCCTGTTCTTCAGTATTTGACCTTTTCCTTTTTATCCCGCTTTCCAGTTATCTTAGATTCTTGATGTTAGTGATTGAGAATTATTTTCTTAGTGGCTGTTTAGTATTAAATTCTGTCAAGATTAGCTATTTATGGTAATAGATGAGACATTTTTAATTGCATTTTCCACAATGCATTAATGACCCTTTGAAAATATCCTTGTCATCTTTGATTTATCTCTAGAAATCTTAGTTTTTATGGAATTTTCTTCTGATATTTATATTAATGTTACTTGAGAGAATACAATATAAAGTCTAAACTCTCACCTCAACAGAGTCTTATATATTCGCAAGAATTTACATGCAAGTTGAGGGAGTAAATTTGTTCTTTTTGCAAACTGGACTTGGGATGCTCATGCTTAAACTTGAGCATTTCCTTGGGGATTGGAGTTCTTCAATTTTTACCAAGTAGGGGGTTGTTTTAAAGAGAATCTCTCATGTAGTAGGGAGAAAGCTAGCTGCTATTTTTAAAAAGAGGGGGTGGGCTTAGTGCAGAATTATCAACCCTGATTCCACTACTCCACATGGTGAGGTTTGTTTGTTTTTCTTTGTTTATACCCTGTCTATACAAGGATTCTGATTTAATTTGGTCTGGAGTAGGATCTGCATCCAATATTTTGTTAAGATCTCCCATATAGTCCATTAATGTTATTGTCTATTGCCCAATCCTTCTTTGCCCTTGTTATCATCAGTGACTGTTGATTGCCTGCAGATTTCCACATGATTGTATTCAGAAAGGGGTGACAAACATAGAACTGTTGTAGCTTTGAAATTCTGAGTGAAACTTAGCTTGTCCTGGACTCAGTGTGCTATCTTTGCGATGTTAGAGTTATTTTACTGTTAAATGACTTATTTCCTGTGGTAAGACAGGCATTTTGTGGAGAGATGTTTATTTTTTAATAGCTGATGACATAGACTAGTGTCCTTTGCTTGCAATCATGGTTTCTAATAAGCTGAGCATGAGGAGTGGCGTCCAGTAGCCAGGAAGATTTTCAGCAGGTGATGATCTCTCAGAGCCCTCCTGCCCTCCTGGTGCTGTGCCCCAGTCCTTTGCCGCAGGCCATTCTCTAGATGTTGTGGAGAGAAGCAAACCTGGAATCATGGACCAGGTCTGTGTAGTCTGTAGATATGACTATCGACATTTCTTCCTTATTACACTAATGCCATAACAGATTAACAAAATGCTTTCCTGCATATAAACTCACATACATCCTCAAAATAATTCTCCGATCCAGGGAAAAATTGAATACAATTTTTTTTCAGTCATTTTATAATTTGAATCTTCCCAATAGTAAGTCAAGATTTAGAAATTAATCATGCATCTTTATTTGGGGTACATCAATGTTTTTGGATATCACCATTTGCAATAATTTGTGTTACTTGTGCTACCATCTTTGGAATTCTGCCACAGGCATTTTGCATAGAGTTTCATGGGTGTATTGCATGGTCTTAAACTTCTTTTGTAGATGAGGGGGTTGAGGGGCAGGATTGTCTGAGGTCACAAAGTTAAATGGCAGACCTTGGAACAGTACATCTCTGTGTCTTACTTTTACTGTGCTACTGATTAATTACAGTCCACTATGCTGTCTTCTCATGCCCCTATGCTAGGTGAATAGGCCATATTAACTTACCACTTTATTACTAGAATTTGAATGTGACCGGCATTCCATGATTAACATCTGACAAAATTAAGAAGCACATATGTATTTCATGTACATATATTGAGCCACAACTAAGAAAAATGGTCAATGGTTTGATTGTCTTAAAATAGAGATTAAATATGATCATTGTCAGAGTCTTTCACAAAAATATAACACAAATAAATCTGATGATGTCACTAATGAAGAAATGTTTATGGTGAACAGATGCAGCCAATCTGCTTACATTTTCTTTGTTGTATCTATGGGCCACACAAGTTATTGCCAAACTGGTATCAGTATTTGTAGAATACAGAACAATAGAATAAAACATAGTACATGAACATCTATTATTATAGCTGCAAAGTACTTAAAACATCTTGCAGACAATTGCAGTAGGAAGACAGTATCTATAAAACTATTTTTTATAGTACAAAACTGAAATGCAGTGGATTTGTTGAAGATTCTTGCTATATGCTATCAGATATGACAGTCTATGCATACAATATTGATGCAACCATGGGAGATAGTAAAATGAAATGTATTTGCAAAATCATTCAAACACCCAAAGTATGACCATATTTCTTATTATTATCAACTTTCTGATCACTTGTGAAGCTTATATTTAAAAATATATATATAGTATATATATCACTGAAAATAGAAAAATATAATTTTAGATGCTCTTTTTTTATACTTATAGATTATTTGCTGATGTACAATTTCTTAGTTTATAAATTTTTATGTAGTCCTTGACCCTTTAAGCCATATATGATTGTATTAAGTTGTTATATTCTTTCTTAAGTATTTAAATTTTATTTTCCTACATATGCTTTCTTTTGCTGAGAATTCATATTTATAATACCTATTTCAGCATTTTAATAAATAAAGATGATCACCAAAGACAGTGCTGATGTAAATCCGCAACCTGTGCACCTTCTTTTCCAGGAAACACAGGCACCTCTGCCTCTTCTTCTGTATCTGTCCAGTGTGGGCATTTTTTATAACTTCTATTTAATTCATTTCTCATTACATTAAAGAGGCTCCATTGTTTTTTAGTGTCTTAGTCAGTTTAGACTGCTAAAACAAACTCCCATAAACTAGTGGCTTAAAAAGCTGGCATTTATATCTCACAGTTCTGGAGAGTGTAAGTGCAAGATCAGGATGCCAGCATGCATGCAGGATTATTAGTGGGGACCACTCCCTGGATTGTAGATAGCCTTATTCTCGCTGTATCCTTACACACACACACACACACACACACACATACACACACACACACACACACACATGCACGCACGCACACGGGGGGGGGGGGGCGGAGAAAGAGAGAGAGAAAGATCTGGGCTTGTCATGCCCATATAAAGGCACTAATCTCATCATGATAGGGGCGCCATTCTCATAACTTCATCTAAACCTAATTATCTTCCAAAGGCCTAATCTCCAATGTCATCATATTGAGGATTAGGTTACATCATAAGAATCTTGGGGGGACACAAATATTCTGTCTACAGCCTTCAGCTATTAATACAACATCAAACTCAGAAGTGGGTGGGACATGAAAGTGGTTCAGCATCCAGAACATTGACAGAAAGCAAGGAAGCAGTGGAGATGGGAGCAGTGATGATGCTTTTTCAATAGAAGTCAAATGGCCTCTTTCCTCCAACCAGGGATTTACATGTGCATGTTGGGTGAAGGAAATCTTGAAAATAATCATTTTCTCCTGACAGATCTTAGGGGCCCCTATCATTATTAACTGGCTTACTTTTTAGAATCACAAAATTATATAACACCTGAATTTAACGGAACAGACTTTA